GACTGTCGCCCCAATAAAGTTAATTTAAAAAATTTAAAAAGTGCTTTTGGTTTGCTTAAGAACTTTAGAGTAAGCATTGCAACAGCCAGACAGTATAAGAGAATTCGGGATGAAATGGTTTGTCATTCTAGATTAAATCCACAAAGAGTCCCATGGCCGTTAAGAAAAAGCTCTCAGACAACAGAGATCCCACAAATTATCTACAACCTGCATTCTAGAAAAGAGTTTAAACTCTCGGGTTTTCTTTCCCTGCCCATTCAGCAGCTTTATCTTTTCTTATTCTTAGAAATAAAACAACCTGTCACGTTACACAGCGAAAGTAAAAGGTGAATTAGGGCTAACATCTTGAGCAGCAGCATAAAAATGTTTTGGACGTGGGTCCTTTTCTGACCTTTATTGGTAGACGCCGACAGAAAAGTGCGGGAAGGAAAAAACACGCAATCAAGGAATAACGTGCCCTTTAACTCTTTTGAATGGTCTGGTTGTGACATTATCTGAATACTTGCAAAGCATGNCGCCGACAGAAAAGTGCGGGAAGGAAAAAACACGCAATCAAGGAATAACGTGCCCTTTAACTCTTTTGAATGGTCTGGTTGTGAGAGTATCTGAATACTTGCAAAGCATGGAGCTATGTACAGCAGGGACTCATTACCACACAAGGAAACACTGGCTCTTACGGGGGAGGGAAGTTCATTACTCTCTCAGTCCAGGACCAAGTCCCTGCCTCTCTATCTCACAGGCTTGGGAGAAATTCTCACGTGCTTCAAGCCAGACCTGAGGAACTTGGGGCCTGTTACGTAACGAATGTGTGTTCTCCCAAATCCAAATGTGGACGCCTTACCCCCCGGTGTGGTGGTGTTTGGAGGTGGGGCCTTGGGGGAGTCACGAGCTGTAGATGAGGTTGTGAGGTGATGCCCATGATGGGACTAGTGTCCTTATGAGAAGAGGAGGGAACTAGAGTTTCCTCTCTCTCTCCCTCTCTCTGTTNATGTGGACGCCTTACCCCCCGGTGTGGTGGTGTTTGGAGGTGGGGCCTTGGGGGAGTCACGAGCTGTAGATGAGGTTGTGAGGTGATGCCCATGATGGGACTAGTGTCCTTATGAGAAGAGGAGGGAACTAGAGTTTCCTCTCCCCTCTCTCTCTGTCCCTCTGCCACGTGAGGACACAGCCAGGAACCGGACCCTCCTCAGCAACCAGGAAGCAAACCAGCTGGCACCTTGATTTTGGACTTGCAGCCACCCAAACCGTGAGAAATAAATGCTCGTTGGTTAAGCGCTCAGCCTACAACAGCAGCCCCAGCTGACTAACACTGGCTCTAAATTGGTTAAGTATTTACTGGAAAAAAGTAAACAAACACACAAACAACGCACCAAACCAGACTCCATCTGACCCAACAAACGGCAGGACACCAGGTCCTTCCAAAGCGGGCGGCAATCACGGTTCCATCCCGGGGCAGGCTGGTGGTGAGTAACAGGGCGAGACACCGGCCTTGATGATTAACAAGCAAAAAGAGGAAAGTTGGCCTCAAGAGCCTCTGGGGGATAAAGAAAGCCCTTGAAACAGGTCAGGTTGTTTCGTCTGGATTATTTTTTGGTGAGAAATATTTTTATTCTAAGTACGGCCTTGGTCTGCTCTGTGAGTGAAAACCTGTTGTCGGGGGAGATACCTGTGTGTGGCTGACGGGTGATCAGGGACCAAGGACCAAAACTTTAAGAAGCTGTTTTCGTGAGAGACTGAGTGAGGCTCTGGGCATGACCTATGCTTCTAGGAGCCTGTTGAGAAGGGGGGTGCGGGCACATGCAAGTGCTTGTTGTAATGTCCACAAGGTGTTGCCGGGATGGGACCGAGCACACTCCAGCCTCAGAGAATTGCTCGGGGAGCAAACCTCACAGAGACAGTAGGAAAAGCGACACAATGTCCTGGTCCAGGGCCTGACTCAGAGAGGTGAAACTGACCTTGTTTCTGCTGCACGTGAGAGGTTCTCACACTCAGAAGTCAGTGCACACACAGCGGGGAGGGAAGCGTGTGCTTCCTTTTCATTTGGGTGCACATGTAAGTGTGAGCTGCCACGAGACTATGAGGCCGGGAGCCAGCATGTGCTTTTACAGGGACACGGTGCGCAGAGACGCAGACGTGAACATGGGACCCCAATGGGGGCGGGAGACTGAGAGAGAGAGAGAGGCTGGGTGGGCTTGTAAGCGGGGAGGAGACAGGATGGGAAGGCTGGAGATCGTACAGGCGTGAGACAGAGAGGATCGGGAGACTGAGAAAGAAACAGGGCTGGAAACAAACACAGAGGGACGAAGGTGGGCCAAGCCTGGCGGGGAGGGAGGGGTGCATTGGTGACCGTGTGTCAGCTGCGGAGCCGGATGGAGACACATCCATCAAGGCTACAGTGATCCTGAAACTCTCAGCAGCCAAGGAAGGGCAATGGGGTCAGATCTGATTTTCTGAATGTTTCTGAAATATAAGTGAGTCAGGAAAGAATAATGTCCTCCAGTGGATCTGTGGGTTCGGGCTATGTTTGGAAGATGCCACAGTGTCGGTATAAATAAGTTGAGGGTAACAAGTGTAGGGATCACTGCTCTGCTTCCGTTTTTCAGTTTCCGAGATGACCCAGGAAAGAAAATAATCACAAGTTCAGAGAGAAAGCTTCAAAAGAACAAAAACCTCTATCACATGAAGGTTACAATGGAGCATCTATGGAGGTAGTAATTTTCTGGGTCTTTCAAAATAATACTATAGATGCAAAAATGTGCAAAGTAGGGAAAACACATGGACTCTAGAGTCATGTCAGGATCAAAATCTCAGCAGCACCAATTTATGAAGTTGAAGCCTATAAATAGCCTGTGTCACCCACTTAGCCCAGTGCCAGAAATTTATCGTTGCTTTTTTCTCCAGCAATGTCTTTACTTTCATAACAAAAAAAGAAAAGATATAGACTCTTTGCTGTTATTTTTATCCAGCACCTCTGTATGGTGCTCAGCACTCTGTTTAGAGCTATTAGGAGTTATAAAGAAATTCCAAGAATTAGCACATGCCTTAAAGACTTCACAACTTTACTGGGAAGCTGAGATTGGAAACAGTACAAAATAATCTGAGACATGCTGAACCTCGCCTGTGCTACAGGTTCTGGACGAGTGCCGAGCTTTCAGATCCTCCTGCACCAGAGGCAGGAAAACCAAGGAAAGGAGGCGGGTGGCCCTGGAGGGCGGTGCAGGGAAACTGCTAACAGTCTCGGAGCATTTGCTAGAGGACGGGCCACACTGTTTCACACGTGGTCAGAAATGACTTCACAGATGAGAGAGGCTTAAACCACACGGTAAAGGTCGGGCTTAGATGTTTAGATGGGAAGTAGCAGGGGCGAGGTCACAAAGCAGAGCTGGAAGAGACCAGGAAAAAAATACACCACACATTTGTAAAGCCCACTGCAATAGCAGTTATCCCGTAACTACGTAAAGTAATATGTTATGATAGTTCTATCAGGACTGTGAGACTTAAGGTGATTTTTACTTTCTTTACATTTGTAAGAGGTTTATCACTAATATGACTTATAATTAGCATGTAATCNTATCAGGACTGTGAGACTTAAGGTGATTTTTACTTTCTTTACATTTGTAATGTTAGGTTTATCACTAATATTATTTATAATTAGCATGTAATCTNAGTTATCCCGTAACTACGTAAAGTAATATGTTATGATAGTTCTATCAGGACTGTGAGACTTAAGGTGATTTTTACTTTCTTTACATTTGTAAGAGGTTTATCACTAATATGACTTATAATTAGCATGTAATCTTTTAACAGTATGAAAAACACACACAATAACTCTATTTTCATTTTAGGAAACAATAACTTTCCCAGTGGATGACAATTCTGACGTGTGATTGCTGCTGGCACCAGCCAGGACCTGAGAAAATGAAAGGCATTTACTGTCTTTTCACAGGGCAGAATCTGGGGGCACCACTGGGCCAGAGATTCCCTTCTCATCAAGTGGCTCTCGGGAAAGGATTACAGGAGAGATAATCCAAGTTCTCCCTGTACATAGACACATTCTTCTAGTCTTCAATCTTGGCTGCACCGTGAGATTTTCAAGGCCTGGGAAAGTGTCTCACTAATTTTTTTCTGTCTCCAAAGCCTCTTACAGACACACAGTAAGCAGTTAATTTGAACAATTAGACTGGAACACATTACCATGTTTCCTTTGCTTCTGAACTATAAAGGAGACTTTGGGGGAGTCCCTTGTCAAAAACTGCCCCTAGGGCTCTGCCCTGCACACTGTAGGCTCAGCTCTTAGCAAAAGGATCCTCTAACTGAAGTCAGACAATTGTCCCATTATCTGCGTTAATTTTTACAAATGCAATGTTTTTTTGTTTGCATGTTTTTTAATAGCAACATAAGAGATGAATTTTATTGTAATGTAGCTATACTGGAATTTGTCTCATATTAGTATTTATGTTGAAAGCCATTACAGTGTACAAACACAGTCACTGATACAACCTAACTAATGTCAGTGTCAATAATCTCAGAATGATTAGTCTGTTTCGTGTCCTGCTACCACGGTTACTTTCCTACCAAAGCGCCTACGAGGGGAGACTAGACACTGTCACAATCTCCTCCCATAAAATTCTTTGCTCAGGGCAGGCCACTCCTTGCTTCTTTCTGTTCCAGATCAAAACGAACACAAAAAAAGAAAACCCAGAACCAATTCTCCTCTTCGTATGGCACACGCATTAGTACAGAAGAAGTAACTGGATGAATGTTCATCAAGGTTCCTGGGACTGACACGAAGTAACCTCTCGACTCTAGCTGTCCTTTCATTTCTCCCAGAGGCAATGGAGCAAACACTACCCGTAGGCGGCAGTTAAACTGACAGGGCTGACAATATCACTGATTAGAAACTGCAACCACAGCAAAAGCAGCACTACTTTCATACTGTACGTTCAATGATTTATTGGCTCAAACTAGGTAAACACAGAATTCTAGGTAGTTTCCTTTACCTTGGCCAGATGGGAGTTGATCCATTTTGTGAAAGTGCGTTTTTGTACTAGCTCTTGCTCATCTAGAAGGGAAAAAAAAAAAAAATCTAATTAGACAACAGAGTATGTCATAAAGTTATATCATGAAAATAATTCAGTTACACAACTCTAGAATTATTTAATATTATGTTATCTTCTAACTCGTTTCAGCAATTAAAAGAAGAGTCAGTACAATTTAAGTATGTTAACCAATTGGAATATTCCTTTAAGAATTATCAGCAAGTGCTTTAAAATTTACAATACGTTAGCCCTATGTTTACCTTCGTTCACTTATTGAAAGTTTACCGAACAATTATACCTCAGTAAAGCGCTTTGTAAGAAGTTCACCGAGACCAACCAAGGGCCAAGTTTTGCGCCCGATGCACAGCCATAAGATGAGCAGGGCAACGTCTCTGCCCTGAGACACCCACGGGTGGAGACAGGCACAGGCATGGAGAGCTGCACGCATCACGCAAAAAGAGAAAACCCGCATTGAAAAGAACCCGGGAAGGTGCAGGGAGGCTTCAGGCGCAGACACAGGCAGGAAGGCCAGAGGGGGGCCAGTCTGACACCACTCAAAGAAAGGCTGAATTCCAGTCGTTCCACCAACATTCGCTGAATGTCAAGTGTTTATAAAACTCTAGACTAGGTGTTGCGAGGAACGCAGATGAACAAGGTACAGCTTCAGGTCCTCGCCCTTTGAGAAATGATGCTCAGATCTACGTTTCTAGAGGGGACGGCTCCTGGGCTTCAGCTCCGAGCGTCTGCCCGCCTGCTAGAACATAACCCCACGAGGACAGTACCTTTCTTCTCCTTGCCTACAAATATGACAAGTAACCACTGTCGAATGAAGACAATTAATAATAAAACATTTAGATCTGGACAGATTTTGGATAGATCCATAGAATTTAGAGAGCCATCACTTCCAGTGCACTTTAAGCATGTACTTACTTCAGTTTTAACTTTTGAGTACATACCAAAAGCAAACCGGTATTAAGCAGGCGACACTCCTCGGGAATTCAGTTAGACATTTTTCTGAGCACACATGTTAGTTCCAAACACGGTAGAGCTTGATTATATCCCACAAGTAAACTCAGTTCTCTAGTGATAAAAAATCCCGGAGAACAAGAAGTTGACCCTGTCTTAGGTTTAATTCTCTAATTTTGTTAGTGGAACCTAAGATTCACCTAGTTCTTAAGCCAGTCAGAAGGTCATCCTTGGATCTTCCCTCTTCATCCCTATGCCCTCCCCTCTTCTCCTGTACCTTGAGTCTTGATTCCTTCCTAAAGGTCAGTCTGGATGTACGTGTTGGGGGGGGGGAGCACTGGTTATGGAAGTTCTCCAGGTGTTTCACCCTTGAGGCTCTCATCCCTGGTTGTGCTAGAACAGTTTGTCCCACAGATCTCAGGAGTTGGAGGCTGGGCCTTGAGAGACGTCTATATAGGAAGACTATTGCATGCACAGGGTCCTGGGTTAATGACGTTACAAGAAATAATCCCCCAATTCCAAGGCAATGGCCGTCTCTAGAAATGAGTGAAAGATAAAGGGAGCTGATTCTCAATTTCTATATTTCATTGCCATGCTTATGTATTTTTTCAGTATTTTGACTTTTCAGGGCAAGATCATGACACATGCAGAAATGAAGCCCGGCTTTAAAAGGGTGATTAAATGTGACCAATAAGAAACTGTCACACCTAATTAGAGTCACCAGTTTTCCTCCTGATGAGTCATAACTGACAGTGACTGGCTTTGCCCTGGGTGAGTTACTCATGCACCTGGAAGCACAGAGCTGCAGTGAAAGGTGGCCTGGGTTGTTTGGAGCCTTCCCAATCAATCACGAAAAATTTGCTGTCTAGAAATATGGCATTTTCATTTTACCGCATCTAACAAATTTACCATATATATTACATAAAACTGTAAAAAAGAATCCTATGGTAACTATCTTTTAAATGTCATTACTAAATTAAATGAATTTTTAAATACATGCCAAAAAGTACCCTTTTAACATATGGTATTTTCAAAAACGCTAACAGTAATTGAAATTAACATATTTCAATACATTTAACAAATTCTTCTGTAAGAATTTATTTCTGAGGGATATAGCATTTCATATATGGGCAAGCACATAAACGTGGCATATTTTTATCAGAATCATAAACATCATGAAAAACAAAATACTGAATTAAATGTCATCTTGAATATAGGAATACACCAAAAAAGGACAGTTTAAATAAATAGACATAGTTGTTAAGTCTGAAATTGCCATGTCTGACAAAAATATTAGAGTATCATGTATTGGTACATTCACTTTTGATTGGTGCATTCAGATTGCAATAGGTTATGATTAACTTTTTGGTTTTTGCAGATTATTGTTACATACTTTAGGTGCTTTAATGACAATAATGACTTAAAGAAAATCTTACGGATTTCAATTACCTAAAAATGTAAATGTTAATTTTTAAAAATCATACATTTACAATCATAATGTTCCTAATTGTGCCTAATAAAGTAAGTCTTCATGTTATTTTTACGTAGATGGATTTATCTCAGTAAAAAAATTGGAAGGGATTTAAAAACAGAAATATAGAGAAAAATTTTGACACAACAAAATAATGTGGCTAAAAAGGAAAAAAATAGTAACAAAAACATAAGGTGGCAATGTAATTATCATTAATTAAATAACAGCTACAGTCAGATGACCTAACTCAAATGATTTGTTTTGGGATCAGAATTATATGATCCCAATTATAGATCTATAATTACTAAACTCCACCACGAATTTTGTTATACATGAGTAGGGTCTAAGCTTTACTGAATATTTCAATGTAATGAAATACTTAGTTCAACATAATGAAATAAACAGTTTCTAATTACCCAATGTTTAGATTTTTAAATTAAAGACATAAAGAAAAACAAATTTACAGGACCAGGTTGTAGCTGATTGCAAAATATGTCCACAAATTCCTCCCGTCCTGGTCAGCACACCCTTTGCAATGTTACAGTGTTGCTTCTCCTACCAGAATGTAGTCAATTTCTCCACTCCTGAGCCTGGGCTGGCCTTGAGATTTGCTTTGACAAATAATGTGGCTAAAAGGATTGACTTTATGTGACTTCTAAGGCTGGGCCTTAAGAGGCCTGGAGGTTCCGTCTGGCATTCTTGAAGCTCTGCCCAAGGAAGCTGGTCTAGCATCCTAGCAGGGTGGGGAACCTTTTTGCTGCCAAGGGCCATTTGGATATTTATAGCATCATTCACGGGCCATACAAAATTATCAACTTAAAAATTAGCTATGACAAAAGCTCCCAGATTTATTGAATTTTGAGTCCCACCTATGGCTGCCTTGGCAGGGCCAGACCAAATGACTTTGTGGGCTGGACGTTCCTCACCCCTGTCTTAGAGGAAAGGAGTCCCTCAGCGGAGAACTGACCCCTTCCCACCCCCTGCCAGGTGAAATCCAACACCAACTGACAGCCCTATGGATGCTCCAGTTGAATGCAGCCACATAAGTGGGCCCAGGAATAGCCAGCAGAAACATGAGAAGCCATAAGGTGTTATTGCTTCAGCTACTAAGTTTGGTGGTTTAGCAAAGGCTAGGTAAAACAGAAGTTGCTACTGAGAGTGTAGTGCCACTTTAATGAAAATCTAAAACATGCGATGTTGGCCTTGGGACCTGGTGAAGAAGTATATTAGTGGAGGCTCAAAGAACAGGGAGAGGACGGCTATGGAAGACTGGAGAAAGAGCCACGCGTACTGTATGTATTATATATTTTATCATCTGCAGTAACTTAAACTTGTGTATCTGGTTAGAGAGATTTCCCTGCTGAAGGCTGAAAGTGTCAACTGGCTTCTTATAAGTGACTGGAAGAGAAAGAGATAAACCAAAGAAGGAATTTTTTAATTTGTAAGCAGAATCAAGAGGAAACCTAAGAGGCCTGTGATGTGGTAGATTAGAAAATATGATTTGTCATTTCCAGTCTCTCCTGGAAAAAGATCTGCAAAGTAAAAATAGACTCAAGATAGCAATAAATCAAGGGTGTAACTGTAAGACTCATTGTGAAGAACGCTAAAGATTTAGGCGGTGCCTCGCTGACCTTCCCAACTAGAAAACTAGCGTCCAAGGATCTTAAGAACATTGTCCATAGCAGCTTCACATGAGGTCCAAAGTTGGTTTCAGACTTTGGGTTTGGGGGGCACAGAATGAATTCCAAGCAGATTTTTAGGAAGCCAACAAATTTGTTAAGCAAAAACACCACCAGCTTGCACTAAGGGGCAGGCCAGTTCAAAATGAGGAGAAGACTTGGGAAGCAGAAATTTTTATGGCTAGGAAGAAAGCTAAGGAAACGATTAGCCACAAACATGTGACACTTCTTATCAGAAAGACAGGGAATGTCCCTTGCCCCTGGATTAAAGAAACCGGCTGCATGTGTGGGGCTGGATTTCAGAATTACTTTGGACCATGATCACCGTCTCCTTTTTATTCTTCCCTTCTTTGGACAGAAGCATCTCCTGAAATGACTAATCTTCTGTCTCATCATTGCAGGCTGGGTCAGTAGGAAGCAGTAATCTCTGTTTTAAGTTTACAAGTCTGGAGACTGAGAGAAATGACACCTGAGGAGCCTCACCCATACCTGGACCAGATGTAGACCACATGATACTGAACTTGGAGCTTGATGCCATAACTGGATGAGACTTTTGATGTCTTGAAAGGGGATGTCTGTGTTTTGATGTAGAAACAATACATATAATGGTGACCAGAGAAAAAATTTCTAATTATGGCCACAAAATTCTCTGGTCCCAATATGCATCTTCCCTTATAATGTGGTTTTGCCCTTCACCCCATCAAAGAGTAGAACTGAATTTCCTCTCTCCTTGAATCTGATCTTGTTTTGCACTTGTTTTGATCAATAATGTAACAGAAACAACTTTGTGCCATCTGATTCTAGGCCTTCAGAAGTCTTGCAGTTTCTTTTTTTAGATGCCCTAAATCACTGTCCTAAAACCACCATGAAAGGAAAGCAGCAGGACAAAAGTCCACGTGAAGGAGAA